TATGGCTCTTTCCCCCCTGAATTTTCTTGTATTGAAATGTTTTATTTACATTGTAGTACATGAGAGGAAAAAATATTTATATTCATACCAAATTGAATGCAGCTCCTACTGTACGTAAGAATTTTTCTTCCCTACAAAAGAGGCCTCTTTTGAAAGTATTGAAAAAAACAAAATGTCAAGATAACTCATGGGGGGGGGGGGTTGGACAATATACATTCTTAATCTATGAGTAGCCAATTGCCTTTTAATATATATATATATTCTTTTTCCTGTCCTGTACTCATAAAACACTAGAATTCACTGCATCCTCCCTTAGAAGGTTCACTGGACCCCAGAATGTTACTTGAATCCCTGATTATGGTATGGGTTAGAATAGGGGTCCCCAACCTGTGGGAAGCAGCCCATTAGTGGGCCATGAGGGGTTTGCAGCTGGGCTGTGAAAATGGCTAGCAGGTGAGCATGCATGCAAGCGCATCCTCTCTTGTGTGAGCAGCGGGCAAACACATGTGCGCACACTCCATTTGTGTGAGCAGCAGGCCCGCGTGCACACTTCTTGCACAAATGGACCTGCGTGCATGCCCACTTGCCAGCCACTTGTGATGGGAATGACTCAGCAGGGTCTGTGTCTCTTTAAGAGCCTTTGTATAAAGGGAAGGCTCTGCTGATGTGTTCTCTCTCTTCCATTTCCTGCTGTAACTGTGGTTTGTTGGATCCTGCTACATTAGCACGTGTATGTATATTGTTCCTGGTGTATGATATTGTAGATAGTGTAAGATAAACCACCATTTAATATAGATCACTGTTTACTGTGTGTACTCCTGGGTTATCTCGCGCAATAAGATTGTGCACACTCTAATATTTCTCTTTTAAAAAAACTATAAGGTTGAAGTGTTGGTAAGTTGCATTGGAAAACTTGGAATATTTCCTACAATGCCAGCAAATTTGTTACAGTTCCTGTTCTCTTTTAAAATTCTTTTCATGCCCTTGATTTTCTCCAAAGAGTGCATAAACTAGGGTTTTTTATGTTACTAGTTATCTGTGCATAGAGTTCAATAAGATTATTTTATTAAAAAAACGATGAAAATGACATATTTGGCTGAGACTATTTGGAAGTAAGCCCCATTGACATCAAGAAGTAGACCTTCTTCCCAGAGAAGGAAATGACTGCACACTTGTCATTTGTTGAATGTCAAATCTTTTGAGACACCATGGTAACCTTTTCTAGGTAAATAGTAAGGATTGCCACCTTTTTATGGCTGAGCCATTCACTTTCTGTTAGAAAGTACCTCCCCTTAATTGCAGGCATTTAATATCATTAGAGTCCCTTGGGCCAAGTCATTTGTACTAAAAAGACAACTTGGGTTCCATTGCTAATTTACATTAATTTGAGGAGAAGCATCCCAATACGAGAAGCTGCAGAAGATTGCATTTCATTATCTTGGAAGGTTATGTTGCTTGCATGGCGTGAGAGAAGGCTCTTGATAATGCACTATCATAATTAGCTTGGATTAGAACTAATAAAAGCATCTGGATGCATTCTGGAAGAAATGTTCATTATATAGCTGATCTCCGGGGAAATAATTGTTGGTAGATGTAAACCAGTCCTTTATAGTGTAGTTATTTATGTTTAACATATCATATCCTAGTAAATTTAGGACAAGGGGCTGGAACTGACTTGGTGAGGTGATTTACTCAATCTTAAATCTATTTGATTACTTTCAGGGGGACAAGGGAAATTTACATCTTCCAAGGAATTTAAATGTAGCAACATTTTTTTCCCAGTTAACATTCCTCAACTCAGGCAGCTTTCAGAGCTATACTAAGGTGAGGAATGAGAACCTATAGACATATCAAAGCATTTCTTATATGCAGGGCTTTTTTTCTCATAGAACGCCCAGAACGGACTTCCGGCACCTTTTTGGGATGGAACCTTATAGGGTAGGCAAGGCAGGTTGTATGACATGTGTGAGTTCCGGCACCGTTGTTGTTTTTTTTTAGAAAAAAAGCACTGCTTGTATGCATAAAAGTTGGGAGACAGGTCTTGCCAAGGCTGTTTTTAAATAACATGGCATGTACTCAAGCAAGACAGGGAAATTAATTTAATTGACATCCCTTTAAATAACCAATACTTTTAAAATTCCAGGAAAAAAATATAATCCAAATAGTATGCTGAGAAAAAAGTACTTTAGGGAATCTTTATTTTTTTTTTTCCATCTCATTCACTTGTTATGTAGTTTACACGTGCAAATCTAGACCATCCAGTCAAAATGTATAAGGGGGTGGTCTTGAAGGACAGAGAGGAAATCCACTACCAAGACAATGATCAGATAAACAAGACTTGAACCCAAGTCAAGGAAGTGGTTTATGAAAATGCCTTAGCAAGCCCCCCTCCCCTCCATTTTCATGAGAAAGAGGGAGGGAGGAAAGCAGATTCAGACTTGTGAGATGCCACTGCTATAGCTGTTGTAATAGAAGATTTCCATGGTGTCTGTTTGATCTATCTGACCTGGCACCTGAAGCAAAATGTTGCAACTTGAAGTTCTCCCATTTAAGGTTCCAACCTGACTCTTTCAAGAACTCCATCCTTTTCCATGTTTTCTCCAAGGAAGAAAGCGCTGCTCCTTCAGTGTTCCCCTCGTTCTGTTTTCAAGGGCGTGGTTTTTTTCTCTCTCTTTTTCCTCAGGGATGAATTTATTGGACCACCTGTGGCCACTGAGTTGCATGACCAGGGCTACATTCCAAAGATTGGGAGGAGCCTCAACAAAAGTATGGGTGTAGCCAGGACAAAAACTAAATTTAATTGAAATTCAGGCTTAATTGAATAAAGCTAATTTCAGGCACATTGGCAGAT